GGACGAGCGGGTCTCGGCGCGGTTCCGCAGGAACCTGCAGCCCACGCTCACCTACTGGAGCGTCTTCTTCAGCTTCGGCCTCTGCATCGCCTTCCTGGGGCCCACGCTGCTGGACCTGCGCTGCCAGACCCAGAGCTCGCTCTCCCAGATCACCTGGGTCTTCTTCTCCCAGCAGTTCTGCCTCCTGCTCGGCAGCTGCCTCGGAGGGGTCTTCAAGAGGACGTAAGGCCGGGCAAACTCATCGCACCTCCCGCCGGGGGGGCTCCCCTGCCTCCCCGCTCTGCCCTGGCTGCTCCCTGCCCGCTGCTCCGGCACCCCCGTCCTTCCCCGGCTTTGCAGCCCTCCTCCTCCTCCTCCTCTCCTGACCTGCTTTTTTTTTGCTGCTGTTGCATTAGCGTTCTCCCTGATGCGTGTGCGTTTCTCGGGTCTGGCGGCCGAGCGCAGAGCGTTGCGGGGAGGACGGCCCCGCGCGCGGGCAGCGCGTGGTCCCGCTCACCTGAGCGCGCGGGGGACAGCACGGGGCCGCGGTCCCGCTCCGCTGGCAGCTCCTCCCGCGCTTGCACCGGTGCCCACCAGCTCCCCGGAGCCTGGGGCAGCCGTAGCTGGAGTTACAGCCAGAGCTTCCTGGAGGATGTTTTCCTTAACCCAACCACTTAGCACAAAAATCTTGCTGAAATCCTGTTTTAATAACCTCGGTGTCGGGCTCTGAGGTGCTGCCAGGCTCGCCGGGAGCCCGGGCAGAGGCAGCGTCTCCGCCTCGCGCCGGGGACAGGGACTCCACAAATCAGGAAGACGCCCGGGCGCAGCCAAGTGGGGATTTGCTCCGTGTCTCCGTTCCAGGATGCGTTTGAAATAAATCACATGCCAAGGCGAAACCGCGAAGGTTGCCAGCCAGGCAGCTGGTTTGATGCGTGGTGACAGCTCTGCCCTCCTGAGTGTCAGCTGGGGATTTACTTTGTCACTGGTTCTTCCTGCACAGGTGGAAGGCGTTAGCTCAGCGTGCATCTCTCCTGTGTGGGTCATATATACGTATGTATATGTTTAACAAGCATAGGAGAGGATTTTATAAAAGACCTTAGTTTCTGTAAGATGCCGTTAAGTGTCTGCTAAATTCCTGTCTCGTGAGTTGTGGAGGATCCTGAGCGATGCCTGGCAGGGAGGGCGGCTTTGGGGCCCCTGTCCCAGTCCCCTGGTCCGTGTGGACCCCGAAGGCTTCGTGGAGCAGCCAGAGCCGCACTGAGCGGCTGTGCCAGGAGAGGAGGTGCTGGGTCGGACACTGGGGAACAGGGACAGCACGTGGGGACGTTGTCCTGGGCCTGGGTCTGAGGCTGCTGGGTCAGCAGGTGCTGCCTGTGCCGGCACCTTTGCACCCGCTTGAGGAGCGGGGAAGGAAAGTACGGAATTGTCTCTCTTGCGGGTTCCTCCCTGAGCCTTCCCACCTGCGGCCGGTGCTGGTTGTGCAAAAGCAGCTCGGGTTTTCGTGGGCAGATTCTCCAAACCTTTCACTCTGCGTCAGGAAGAAGAGCGAGTTTGTCTTGCTACGAACCGGGGTGCATTTGAGGCTGTTGATCATAGCCCGTCTGAGCAATGGCCCTGTGCAAGTGTCCGAGTGTCCCCTGAGGAGGGACAGCCCCTCCGTGGGGCCGGAGGGCACGTTCGGGAGACTGGTGGCTTGCTGCTGTTGTGCGGAATTGCATGCAGTGTCCAAACATGTATTTGGATAAAAATGTGAACTGTTTTGGTTCAGAGAGCTCCCCATGGTATCCCCTTTTTCTGGGCAATCCTGGGGTTTATAATTGGAGTATTCCTGGCGATCCAGCCCTGGGCTGGGAGTGCTGGATGGTGCTTCCCTGCTGCTGGAGGCTCACAAAGCATCACCTCCCCACGGCCCCAGACAAGACAGGCTCTAGGTCCAAGCCAGGCTTAGTTTCCAGTGTCCGTAGGTCCAAGCCAGGCTCAGTTGGCAGTGTCCATAGGACTGGATTGCATTGTTTGCTCTAGGTTAAAATCCAAGTGTTGGTCTGAGCTGCCTGCCCAGGGAAGTGCCGCTGTTACCAGGTGCTGCTGCGGAGGGGTAGGTGGACCGAAACCCTCCAGTTCCTCTCTCCAGAGACGTTAATGAACCCTGGGTCGTCGTCTCGGCTCTTTCGTGGCCCTGCTAGAGTCTCGGAGCATTGTGAGAAGAGAACATAATGATGGCAGCCTTCCCTCTGCAGCTTGCTACGAGCCTGGAGTGCTGGAATTAGCTCCAAAATTCCCCATTTACTGGATTTCAAGGAAGAAGAAAGCTTGCCCTTGTGCATTTCCTCAAGTTGTGCAGAAATGCAGGTGTCGCCTTCACTGTTCTGTGCTGAGACTTGGATTTGCTGAGCGGTCTCTTCCGTGGCTTGTTGGGAGGCGCAAACCTGGACTGCAGGAAGATGCCAATGCCCCGTGCAACTGCAAGCCACAAGGTTCATATCACCACCAGGTCCACAGAACAAGTGTACTGGTTTCTGCTGACCTGTGTTTGGTGTCTGCTCTGTTGCAATTACAGCTGTGGGCCAGAAGAATGTAATTTCTAACGAAGTATCTCAGAATCAGTCTTTGGTATGAGTGGGAATAGGTTTTGAGAGGAGAGCGTGCCCTGGTGCAAAGCTGTGCGGTGCCGGGGAGGGCAGGATCACGCAGCGCATCGGCAGGACGCTGCTGAGGGCCGTGTTGGTTTCCCATCCTCAGGATGTGGCTTCAGAAGTCCCAGGGCACCTCATCAAAGGTGCCTTTGAGGAGGTTGGTTATTCCTAAGAGATCCCGCAGCCGCAGGTGGTTGCAATGGGCCGGGAAGGCCCTGGGGTTGGGATGTGTCTGTGCTCCTCGCTCTGGCTTTGCAGTCCCTCCTATCTGCTGGGCTCGGCCGCGCGGTGCTTTGCTGTCTGGTCTCTGCTTCCTTCCTTCCTTCCTTCCTTCCTGCCTGCAGGCTTGGCAGCTCCCAGGCCGCGCGGTGCCAGCCTGGGCTCCGCTCGCGCGCGGAGCAGCCTCCCGGCTCTGCTCGTGTGATGTAACCAGAGCACTCGCTTTGCTGCACCACGAGCATCCCCTCGGATGGGCTGCGAGCGCAGGGAATCCGCCCTCTGCACCGGGAATACTGCTGGAAGAGGAGAAGAGGGCAGGGGCTCCCTGTCGTGCAAGGCGGGAGAGGGCTGGGATGGGGGTCACAGCTCCCTGGGTGACACGGGGACACCGGCAGCTCCAGCTCCCTCTCCTTGCCCGGAGCCGGGGTTTTCCACAGCTCTCCTGCAGCAGAGCAACGTGCGGAGCATCCCCCTTGCACTGCGAGCAGGAGCACACACTGGAGTCGCAGCCTTTGGGTGCATCTCCTGCGGGTGCCTATGCTGTCGATGGACCTGCATTTGAAGTTGCAAGGCAGAGCTGCAGCGCAGATGCTGCTCCCACAGTGGTAATTCCTCTTTCTTTCCTCTTTTCTCTGCCCCAGGTTGGCTCAGTCCTTGTTCGCGCTCTTCGCCTCGTCGCTGGCCATCTCCCTGGTCTTTGCCATCATCCCTCTGTGCCACAATGTGGTGGTGCTGGCCGTGGTCATGGCCGTGGCCGGCCTGGCCATGGGCTGCATCGACACCATCTCCAACATGCAGCTGGTGAAGATCTACCAGAAGGACTCGGCCATCTTCCTGCAGGTGAGCGGGGAGCATCCACGCTGAGGAAGAGGAGGCCACAGGAGCGAAGGCCCTTGAGCATCTTCCCCGCAGAGAGGCGGTAAATCCCACCTCTGCCCTTGTGTCTCTCGTCTCTTGCAGGCCCTTCATTTCTTCGTGGGCTTTGGGGCGCTGCTGAGCCCGCTCATCGCTGACCCCTTCCTCTCGGACACCAACTGCATCCTCTCCAACGGCACGGCCAACGCGTCCAGCAACCTGCCGCACATCCGCAAGTCCCTGGTCCCGCACCACCCGGGCAACCTGTCCCGCTACGAGCTGCCCATGAAGGGCCTGGTGGTCACGCACGTGTCCTACGCCTTCTGGATCATGGCCCTCATCAACGTAAGTGCTGCAGCCGGAGCAGGAGCCCGTCCTGCTTCTTGGCTTTGCAGCCCTGTCCGGGATGTGTCGGCGCTTGTTGGGTTTTCCCTGCGGCAAAACGGGAACGGTGCTGCTGGTGGAGAGCAGAGGTTCCTTTTTCCAGGCCTGGCTCCCTGCTGGGAGCAGGAGGACAGGACGTGTGTGTATCATTCAGTGTGACCGTGGCTGATGCACCGGCCTTTGGGAATCTCTTTGGAAGCTGTTCCCACCTTCAGGCTCACTCCAGCATCCTGCAGCCAGGGGTTACACCAGTTACTGACATGCAGAGAGGGGATGCAATAAGTAGGATGCGGTAATGGAAACCAAGGCCATCAAGGCCTCTGCGGTCAGTCCAGGGAGGAGCTTGAGGGCTCGGAAAAGACTTGGCAGGAGGAGGATTTGCTCCCTTAGTCACAGGGAAACGTGCGCTGCGGAACGGCTGGTGCTGCTGGTTCTGCTGGGCCCGAGGTGCTGGCCCGGGTCATCCCCGCTGTGCGGGTACCGACACCGGCACCGCGGCGGGCACCGCACCGAGCCTTGGCAAGGCGGCAGGAAAGGAGGAGCTGCGGAAAGGGAGCCCCGTAGCCACCCCCGGTCGCCCTCCCGCTGCCGTCGTGGCCTGTTCCTTGCCCCATTCCCGGCGGCAGGAGCCCAGCGAGCGGCTGCGATCGCCCGTGTTGATGGGAGCGATAAGTGCGATAAGAGCGATAGGTGCCGAGGGGACCCGCGGCGCTCGGGAGCTCCTTGGGAAGCCGCGGCGGCTCCTCCAGCCTCACCCGGGGGCAGGACCCTGGTCCTGGGGTCCCCGCGAGGCTGCGGCCGCCGGGGGAGAGCGGCCCGTGCTCAGCTCGCCCCAGGGCACAGGGCCCTGCTGTTTCCCCAGGCTTTTCAGCTATCCCCTTGCAAGGCTCTGGCTTGCAAATAGTGGGGTTTCTTTTTGAGAAATAGCCCTTTGCAATCAGAAAGGAGCTACTCATCACCTGCAGAAATGGGTCTGGTCAAGTGTAGCTCATCGGTGTCTCTTATTTCCCCAACCCCCTGCTCTGCGTGGGGCAGAGCAGCAGGTTTCTCCGTGGGTTTCCTGGTTAACTAAACGCCCCAGGGCCTCGTAGCCGGTGGCCTCCGTTAGCCCCAGGCCCGCACTGGCACAAGGAGCCCAAGGGCAGGCGCCACGATGGGTCTTTGCAGCTGGGAAGGAAGGAGAAACCACCTCTAATTACCTCGGAGGCCGCGGATGCTGTGGGAAACGGGCTTTTAATTACACCAGAGCGTTACCTATTTTAGCAGTCGCTCCTGTTCTGGTTTTAAGGGCCGTGTTTAGTGCCTGATCCCTGGAGCGCAGAGAGGAGAGGGCGGTTTCAGACCCCTCCTGGGCCAAGCAAAGTCCCCGTGCCCTTGCCAAGAGACTTGACTTGGTTCCGTGTTTAAATTAAACCACCCAACCTGCTGGCCCCAGATGTGAGAGTGGTTTTGCTCCAGAAATGGCCGTTCTTTTAGGTGTAAACACCACAGAAAGGAGATGGTGATTGGCATGCAAAACCCCAGGGAAGGGGATGCAATGAGTAGGATGCAGTAATGGAAACCAAGGCCATCAAGTTGTGTTTTTTTTTTTTTGTCAGAAAAATACAAAACACAATTCCATGCTGTCTTTTCAGAAATGCGTGTATTCTGACAGCAACAAAATGATTCATTTCAATTTTCTTGCTTTGTTTAAAGTTGAAATGTCTCTATTTTATTTTGGCATAAGTGCAACGTGTAAAGCTATTAGAATAGCTGTTTCAGGGTTACTGAAGCAAAATGTTTTTGTTTTAGTGAAATTAAATGGTTCAACATTATCAAAATGAAGTGCTTGGCTGACTCCCAGCCAAAATTTTTCATTCTAAGAGAAAATTTTGGCTTTTCATCCCGATTTGGAACAAAAACACATTTTAAAATTCAGTTTCCCACAGAACGGAAATTTCATCATCCAGCCCTTTCCAAGGGGCTGGGATTCAGGAAAATGTTCCTCGGAGAGGGATGTGTTTGTCCGGAAGGTGGTTTCCCACGGGAAGCGCGGGACGCTCCATTGTGCTTAGGTTGCTCAAAAGTAGCCGGGGGGACAATAGGAGGGAGCAACTTGGGGCGCCCGGGAGCAGGAGGAGCCGCAGGGAGAGGCCTCCGTGCGCATCCGCGGAATCTCATGGAGCTCGGGAATACGAACGGCTGCCGCGTGGGAGCGCGAGGGCCAGCGCTGCTCGTTTTGCTTTTCGCCCCCGTGCCCGGTGCTGTCGTGGCCTTCTCCTCCCCGGCTAAGAAAACCCCATGTCCCCAAAGGGGCTCCTGCAAAACCAGCCCCACGTGCAGGGACGCGTTGCCCTGGATCCAGGGCTGGATCCCAGCTGGCCGGGGTGGATGCTGCTGGGGGGCACCCTCAGCCCTGCGGGGACAGCGGGTCCAAGGGCCGCTGTCCCTTGTGTCCCTTGGCTTTGGGACGGGCGCGTCCGGCTCCGTTGGCTCCTCTCCGTGTTCCCGAGCCGCTTTCGCGGGCGCTGCGGCCCCGTCCACCCCCTGGATTTATGGCCGGCCTCTCCCGCATTCCCGTCATGGAAGACTTTCTCCCAGGCCTTTTGCCAGCGGGGCACAGCGTGGGTCTAGCAGCCCCGGGCAGCTGCTTGGCCTTCATCCTGCTCCGTTGGCTTTCCCTGCTTCCCTGCAGCCTCCATAGGAAGGGTCCCCTTGTGCACCTGAGCGTCCGGGTCCGGTATCCTCATTAAGTGACAAGGGAGCCTTTGGAGATGGGATGCAGAGCCCTGGGGCTTTCCAAAGGCCAGATCCGTGGCCCTTTTCTGCCCAGGCTCCTTAGGGCTGGGAGCACCTATCCGTATGGTCAGTCCCTCCGTGTGTGTTTTATTGTTTTTCTGCAAAATCTGCAGTTTAGAAGAATAAAATCTGCTCCTGACCTCCGGAAGGGTTAGAACTATCAAGCAAATGCGTTTTTCTTCCATGGGACCGAACTAACTGTTCCGATTCCCATTGTTCCCAGAACAATGAAATCCTCGTAAATGAATTCAGTCGAGAGAGGCGGGAGGGGGAAGCAGGAGGGGAATTCTCCATACATTTAAATGCTGCCACGAGCCAGTGAAATGCAGGAAATTGGGAGCTCGAGCTTGCTCACGGGGCAGAAAACAAGGGCTCGGCGGCCGGAGAGGGAGCTGCTGCTTGGGGATATCCCGGCTTCCTCCCGGCTTGTTGTGGAATAACCAGCGCGGTGGCACAGGGAGGGCTGCAGAGGGGCAGACCCTGCTCATTCACTTCCCTCTATTTTCTCTCCAAAAAAAGAGCGAATCCCTCTGGGTTTGGATGCACTGCCGAGTCGTGGGAAGGGAGCAGGATGGAGCTGGGCCCGGCTCCGGGACCTGCCGGGGGACCGGGATGTGGGAGGGCAGGAGCCAGCCCGGCCCT